CTGGACTGGGCAGCCCAGGGTTGAATGCCCACAGGCACCCATATACCCAGATCCTGGAAACCGGACACCTGACCTGTAAACCCAACCCCTTGGGGGAAACCCCCTGGGTACCCCTGCACATGGAACTCTGGACTGGACGGAGAGGACCAAAACGTGTGAGGGTGGGGAGACAGGCCCCTGACTGTCGCAAGGATTACTGAACTGCACGTCACTAATCCCGTTAGCCACAGCCCCTACCAACACCACCACCTGGCGCACCGGGATCACTGAACAAATCAGTGACCGGCAGTTGGAAGTCCCTCTCTGATGGCTATTCGACCCTCGACTGCATTAAGTCAGGGTCAGGCTGTCCCCCCTCTACTCCAGGGCATGCCTGGATAGGGGGGACCACCCAGAGCAACCCCAGCAGGAACGCCTAAAACATCCACCGGTTAAGAACTGGAGGCGGAAGACATAGAAGGTTTACTGCCGGAAGAAGAAGACGAATCTCTCTTCCAGCTGGAAGGTCGCTGGACAGGCATGGGAGCCTTGGCAGTAGACTCCGTGTGCAAACAAAGTTCACACGGCAAAGTCTCATTGCAAGGCCGGCAAAGGGGACAGGCATCATGGGGTTCCTGATCTCCGAAGAAATATGAACACCCATGTGCTGACCCCCGATGTAACCTGGCACTATCCATCGTCGAAACAATAAAAAAAATCATAAACAATGGAAAAACAAGGCAACAAAGTTTTCTAACAAACAAAAATCTACGAACGAGAGTACAAAGTCTAACATCCGCAGCAAGACTGCAATAAGAAATGTTCATACAAAACTGCCAACAAAGCAGCAAGAAAACAAATTACAACTTCACGAAAATCCGCAAAACGAGACACGTGGTCACGCACTCAACCACATGGAGGAAAACACAGCCGGAAAGACGGTTGAAATAAACATATGCCAATACTTATAATTTTGAAAATAAGTTGGGAGATGGGTTAACAAACTACTAAGGGAGTGAGACAATAATAACAGTACGAAGAGATGGAGTAAAGAAAGCACTCAGTTCGGACACCTCCGCACTCGTCAGCAGCCATAATGGTAAGTGGAAGGGAGATCACTCTATGTTCCTGCCGTGATGGCTCATGGATTGCAGGGAGGGCGGGATTATTTGAAATTTTTGTTGTTAAGATACAAAGATGGGTGTGGTAAATACTACTGAAATGAAAAGACAATTTGATAACCCCAGAAAAAATTAAAGGATTTCCATCCCATCATGTTTATATTATCACAAAGAAAGTCATTCTGTCCTAAAAATCCTTGCAGTAACCTCCATAGTGTTTGTGAAGACATGAAGCAAGAACTTTGGTAGAGATTGTTAAATAGGCTGCTGAAATACAAAACATTTCACAAACTTCTTAAGTCCTCAATATAATTATACCATAAAATGTCTCCATCCCATCACAAATAATATCAGCACTTTAGATTAACATGCCAACAAATATAGAACAATATTACAGCCATCTTTAAGCATATCATTGTGCATATAATAGGCACAATGCTTTGTAGAGTTGTTTTTTTTTGTGAGTATGACGTCCCGATTTTTCACAACACATTAAATCGGTGATATGACATTCTTACTTTTACATCACATATCTTATGGATGTTACATAATATTTCCTTAGTATGTCACAACATTTTAAATGATGCATTGTCAGGGATTAATCTAGACAAATGTTTCTATCGTGAAAGGGTAGTATTTCCTAAGTGTCATATTTTCTCCTCAGAATGTAAACTAATTCTCCAGCAAGAAAATGTACTGAAAACATGGGAAAATTTGCCCTAAATAAAGAAAACTCTCCCCAAAACACAACTACAGGTGTCATATCTGATGGCCATTACATGACATGTGTTTCTTGGAAACATAACTTAGAGATTTTAACATGACATATCCTAAATGTAGCATGACATTTTTAATTTTCTAAAATTCCTGGCTGAAGCATAAAATTGTATGTCTCAAGGTATGACTGGCATATATCTAATCGCTAAACATTTTACACAAGATTAAATAATATATTCAGTATATTTTGCTACAATTTTCCTAGAATTTGTGATAAATAATGCTAAAACAACAAAAGAATACCCAAATGTATCATATCATATGTGTCAAATAGTAACATTTTTATTCACCTATACATGTATATGCAATACAAATTGTATATAGAACAACCTGCCCAAAACATGTGTAACCACAAATACAGGCTTTATACAAAACAAATAAGACATAACCATTCCCTGGGATAAACAAAAATTATCAAGGCAGCTGTCAGTATGCCTCTTATACAGTGTACACATACAACCTTAGTCACGTACAAAAAACAAGGTTTCTTTTAATTCAGAAACATACATCACATAACTTCTGGTCAGCCTAGATAAACTATATGTTTAATAAAGGATTTCAAAATGAATATGTACTTATTTAATGTAAAAATCACAATAAAGAATTTTCATTTTATCCATTTGACAATATCCATCAAAAGTGTAAAAAAGGAAATAAGAGACAAAACACAGCTCAACATCAACTTGATTAAATTGAAAACATTGTTTTTTAATCCATACACAGAAAACAACTTATTACAGAAAATCTCACTAGGGTGAGAGAATATAGAAACAATTAACATTTTGATTAAAAACACCTGAAAGTTAGAGAGTTTTTTCTATGAAATACTGACCAGTAGCAAACAGCAAACACTTAATTTCTGACCTTACTGATGGTGAACGTTTGCTATTTAGAAGACACTTAGATTTCCATTAAATCTAGTTGCCTGGTGCAGTGATAACACACTCGCCTTTCATCTTCATGTCCAGGGTTTGATTCCCGAATTGACCTGAAAACATACTTCCTGACCATGTTGGTTTCCTCTTTTATGCTGGATTCCTCCCACAGTAAGACCCCATGCACTTCCATCCATGCCAACAAGAATGATTAATCAAAGCTGTTAGCGTCTTTGGCAATTGCTGGTAAACAAATGAAGTTTATCTCTGTAATGAATTTCTGCTAAGACACTGGTAGATAACAAGCAAAATCACAGAACCATCAATTTCAGTCCTTTTCAACACATGATTCTTAATCAGTTTGTGCAGTGTAACTTGCCTTTCATCATGGTCATACAACTCCCTGTCACATTGGAAAGCTCAGTTGCTGCCTGACCAACTGAATACTCTACAGATAATTAGCTTGCCTCTTACATACATGTACAATATGTATTTGGTATATGATATGTGTTATGGTCCAAGTGAGTATTCACAAAATGATATCACTGTTGTTATAGGAAATATCTAGATTAATATGAGCTTTGTTATCATATAATGCAGATATATTCAGTGGCAAAGAATGGCTTTATTGAGGACTGCATCAAGGCTGAAACTTGTATTTTTTTCATTACAACTGAAATTTATAAGAAAAGCTTGAAAAAGATTCATCTCTGTATAATTAACATTTCTGAACACAAATAGTGTAAAACAGATGATTCACAAATACTGAAATACTACGTAAATTACTTTTATTATCAAGTGAAACCTGTTCACATGACCACAAACACATCATCAGATGGTGGGCTAAAAATGTATTAACAAAATCTGCTGTATGACATTACTTGAGAGATTTGATGAGTGGAGTATGATGGGGACATTTGGAGGCAAGATTTCCTGTACATGACAACACCCAAATATTGCCCTTGGGACCTGTTTTATACTTTTTGGTTTAATTCATATTCAACACCATTTTTTTTTACATCTTTTGTAAGAGTTTTTCACTTTAAGTTAAATCTTTACAGAAGACTAATTTTATGTTATTAAACAACCTGATTCAAATGCAGAGAAAACAATATTATTTTTATTTATCTAGAATACAAAATAAACTGTATATTAGTGGAATACCATGGTAATTGTAATTAGCTAATGTCAGGTCACAGTCTTTTTCCAGATAGATAAAATTTGGTATCGTCAAACAGAATCATTGGATGAGCTTGTATATCTAGTAATATGCAAACTGAATTCTAAGTGGTGGCATGATTTTCTGTTCCTGAGTGAACAAATGTCAACTATTGCACAAATTTTTAATGTAATAATTCCCAGATTCCACAGACACCATAAAATGATCACACTCTTTGTTTCGAGAAAAATCTTATTAATGATAAAATATCTCTAAATCTACACCAAACTTATTGTTGTTATATACAGATGAAGTATCATGAATATGTTCCAGCAATATGTATTCATCTGTACATTATTAATGTATTTGTTTTTTTTTCCTTCCATGACGTGGTACGTGCTTATCCATCCTATCATCTACATGATAAAATTTGTAATATTACCTACAATGTATAATGACTTTCAAATCTTATCTCTTGTAATCATAATCAGAAAAATGTACGATAAAATGCAAATTTTACGTGTTTAAAATTATTTTGGATACATTGTCTGTAAGAAAAACTAACGCAACTAAAATCAATGCTGCAATATAACATACTAATTAATACATGTATAATCTAAATATTGTAGATTCCCCTTTCACATTATATATAACTTATAAAGAAATTCCAATTTTGAATGCTGTGAAATAAATGATTGAGACAGCACTTCAGTAGGGTTATTATGCATAATTCCAGGACAAAAAGATACCAGTAGGTATTGTACTTACCACTTATGTGATTAAGTGGCACCCTTTAATAAGATGCCCTCATTTTCTGGTAGCCTTTCAAATCCAACTTAATGCTATTTTTTTCTCACAAAGCAAGTAAAACTTATAACGTGTTATCTGACCTCATATTATGTCACAGAACCTGTACCCTGAACGCTTTGGATTACAGCATGCCTCCCATATGTCGTTCAGAGCAGTAGTCGCCAATTACTACAAGGAGACTTTACTACAAAATAATCAGCAAGTCCAAACCAATTAATGAAATACAAATCAATAATTTTTGTTGGGGTTTTATTTTCATTTAATTCATGGGTACCCTGATTCTAAGATTTTCACTTTCAATGAAATGATAAACTTACTGAAGTTGACAATGTTCATAGTACTATTGGATTTTGCCAGCAAATGCAGGCAAATATGTATGTTTTCACAAAACCAGGAAATTTTAGCTCCATGCAAATCTACAATTTTACAGTATATTGTATTACACATTCACAGGGTGCCTAATTAATCAGGTTTTACATTTTATGGGGGACTTATTTCTACTGTATAAAGATATCAATTTAATTACAAATTACGAATTTAATGAAAATCAAACAAATTATTTTTTACATATTTACCTGGTAAAAAAATCAAGGGTATTCATAAAATAATACCATTAAAAAAAAGTAACAACATACAAGCGCAGTTGCTAAGGAACATAATTAAGCAGTACCAATCAAACAATTTTGGCAAAAGGAGCTGTATTGCAGAAACAAATGTCAACAATAAGGCGCAATGTGCGACTTTACAGATTTAAGAGTTATCTTATCATACATGTGTGTATATGTGCAAATATTGCTCAATCACATGTGGAACGTAGCTGTCAGTTACACAGGAAATTGTTTACAAAAAGAAATATTGCGGGTGTGATCTGTGAGGATCCATCAGGTATTTGGGTACAAGGTTAGCTGAAACTGTTAAGGCTCATCACCAAGGTCATCATCAGGGTCAAGGTCACTGTCATAAGTATCTTCCTGATCATTTGGGTCAAAGGAGCGTAGACTGGCTGCTCTCTGTGACAGTACAGACTGACTTGACCTTTTCAGCCTACAACAAAAACCAAACACATTAGAATCAAGTCAAACACCCTTAACACAAAGTTGTGGGGTCATGAAAACACATCAAGTTATCCAAGTATTCTAGACTTAGGGTGTTTTATGCTAACAATGTATGGAGACACAGGCTGTCGTAACAATTTGTTGGAACTTCAGGTAAAGAGGGACTTTTAAGTAAAATTTTGATTTCTTAGATCAGAGTTCACTTTAGATTATCATAATTTTTTTTTAGTTTTACTGGTCTTTATTGCTAATATAAAAAGCAATTTGCAGGGAATGATAAAATACTTTGAGTTAGGCAAGGTATTTGCATTTTCAGAGTTTGGAATAAAAGAGCTTGGCTGTATACATAGACTTCATTTTGCAATTTCCCCAACAAAGAAATTGAAAAGAAGATACTTTTTTGATGAGAAGTAAGGAAAACAAAAAATTCACAAAAGCAAACAACAAAAGATTGATATAAATATGATGTTTTGTGGAGTCTCCACTTCACTTCACAGAACATGTAATATCAGTGATATTTTTTTAATCAAATTTTTGAGTCCTGGTTTCATTCTTTACCTGTGATTCAATCACTTTATGTTTTTGTAACTCAACTCATCAATTTTGTTTTTAATTTGTACTCTGAACACAACAGACAAAAAAATCCCTCAAAAATTACTGTAATACAGTGACATTTGCCAATTGTTCATGTCATAAATAGAAAAAAAAACCATCATGACAGAAGTTGATCTGAAGATTGATGAGATAACAAAAATTACAGTGGGTTTGTTGATTCTTTTTTAAAGTATGCTGCAAATAACAATGAAATAATTTATTTTTTGCTATATGCTTTCAATGTGAGAGGGAAATAATAAAATTTCAGAAATTGAAACTACTAGTCCTTCAAAACAATGTACAGATTAAGTTTAAAAACATCATCTAGTTCACGTTTTGTGATAAACTTCAGAAACTATAACACAGGTAGATAGAACTGATTTATTCATCAAAGGGGCAAGTAATATTAATACATCATATAGGCAATATATATTATGTTGTTTGACTTACTTTACTCATTCTGTTGAATTCATAATGACATTGAAGTACATTAATTATAAGTTAATAGATAACTCAGATGCAAAAAAAAAACAACACACACACATGCAACACTGAGCACCAACTTCATCAGTATAAAATAATTCAATCGAAAAAAAAAAACCTCTGAGCACCTCAATCACTCAACACTTCAATCACTAAATACTTCAAACACTCCACACTTCAGTAGCTAAATACTTCACTCACTTAATACTTCAAACATTAAATATTGCAAATACTCAACACTTCAGTCACTAAATACTTCAGTCACTTAATAGTTGAAACACTAAATACTTCTGGCACTAAATACTTCAAACACTAAATACTTCAGTTACTAAATACTTCAGTCACTAAATACTTTGTACACTCAACACTTCAGTCACTAAATACGTTATTCATTAAATACTTGCGTCACTAAATACTTCAAACATTAAATAGTTCAAACACTCAACACTTCAGTCACTTAATAGTTGAAACACTAAATACTTCTGGCACTAAATACTTCTGGCACTAAATACTTTAAACACTAAATACTTCAGTTACTAAATACTTCAGTCACTAAATACTTCAGCCACTAAATACTTTGTACACTCAACACTTCAGTCACTAAACACTTAAGACAATAAATACTGCAAACACTCAACACTTCAGTCACTAAATAAATTATTCATTAAATACTTGCGTCACTAAATACTTCAAACATTAAATAGTTCAAACACTCAACATTTCAATCAATTAATAGTTGAAACACTAAATACTTCAAACACTAAATACTGCAAACACTCAACACTTCAGTTACTAAATACTTCCAACACTCAATACTTCAGTCACTAAATACTTCAGTCACTAAATACTTCAAACATTAAATACTGCAAACACTCAACACTTCAGTCACTAAATACGTCATTCATTTAATACTTCAAACACTCAACACTTTCAGTCACTAAATACTTCAAACACTCAACACTTCAGTCACTAAATACTGCAAACACTCAACACTTCAGTCACTAAATACTGCAAACACTCAATACTTCAGTCACTAAATACTTCATACACTCAACACTTCAGTCACTTAATACTTCAGTCACTAAATACTTCAGTCACTAAGTACTGCAAACACTTAATACTCTAAACACTCAACACTTTCAGTCACTAAATACTTCAAACACTCAACACTTCAGTCACTAAATACTGCAAACACTCAACACTTCAGTCACTAAATACTGCAAACACTCAATACTTCAGTCACTAAATACTTCATACACTCAACACTTCAGTCACTTAATACTTCAGTCACTAAATACTTCAGTCACTAAGTACTGCAAACACTTAATACTCTAAACACTCAACACTTCAGTCACGAAATACGTCATTCGTTATATACTACAAACACTCAATACTTCAGTTACTAAATACTTCAGTCACTAAATACTTCAAACACTAAATACTTCAGTCACTTAATACTTCAGTCACTAAATACTGCAAAAACTCAACACTTCAGTCACTAAATAATTCAAACACTCAACACTTCAGTCACTAAATACGTTATTCATTAAATACTTGCGTCACTAAATACTTCGAACACTCAATACTTCAGTCACTAAGTACTTCAGTCACTAAATACTTCAAACACTTAATACTCTAAACACTCAACACTTCAGTCACGAAATACGTCATTCATTATATACTACAAACACTCAATTCTTCAGTTACTAAATACTTCCAACACTCAATACTTCAGTCACTAAATACTTCCAACATTAAATACTGCAAAAACTCAACACTTCAGTCACTAAATACTTCAGTCACTAAATACTTCAAACACTAAATACTTCATACACTCAACACTTCAGTCACTAAATACTTAAAACACTAAATACTGCGAACAATCAGCACTTCAGTCACTAAATACTTCAGTCACTTAATACTTCAGTCACTAAATTCTGCAAACACTCAACACTTCATTTACTTAATAATTCAGTCACTAAATACTTCAAACATTTAACACTTCAGTCACTAAATAGTTCAAACACTTAATACTTCAGTCGCTTAATACTTGAAACACTAAATACGTTAGTCTCTAAATACTCCAAACACTAAATGCTGCAAAAACTCAACATTTAAATCACCAAATACTTCAAACACTAAAAACATAAGTCAATAAATACTTGAAACACTCAATATTTCAAGCAATCAATACTTCAAACAATCAATACTTCAAACACTAAATATTTCAATTAGTAAATACTTCCAACACTCAACACTTCAGTCACTAAATACTGCGAACACTCAGCACTTCAGTCACTAAATAATGTAGTCACTTAATACTTCAGTCACTTAATACTTCAGTCACTAATTAGTACAAACACTAAATACTTCAAACACTTCACATTTCAGTCACTTAATACTTGAAACACTAATGCTTCATGCACTAAATACTTGAAACACTAAATACTGCAAACACTCAATACTTCAGTCACTAAATACTTCAAACACTTGATACTTCAGTCACTAAATACTTCAGTCACTAAATACTTCAGTCACTAAATACTTCATATACTCAACACTTCAGTCACTAAATACTTAAAACACTAAATACTGCAAACACTCAGCTCTTCAGTCACTAAATAATTCAGTCACTAAATACTTCAGTCACTTAATACTTCAGTCACTAAATACTTCAAACACTAAAAACTTAAGTCACTAAATACTTCAAACAATCAATACTTCAAACACTCAACACTTCAGTCACTAAATACTTTAGTCACTAAATACTTCATACACTCAACACTTCAGTCATTAAATACTTCAAACACTCAACACTTCAGTCGCTAATTAGTATAAACACTAAATACTTCAAACACTTAACATTTCAGTCGCTTAATACTTGAAACACTAATGCTTCATGCACTAAATACTTGAAACACTAAATACTGCAAACACTCAACATTTTAGTCACTAAATACTTGAAACACTAAATACTTCAGTCACTCAAAACTTCAAACACTTAACTCCTCAATAACACAATACTTCAATCAGATACCACTTTAACTATGAATGACTAATGATATTTTTAAGCAAATCACTCATGAAGGATGAAATATTTCAAACAAGAAACACTTAAAGCACATATGTCATTTATTCCTCTGTCAATAACTGTGGACTTTAGAGTTAATCACGACACAATTAATCTGTGAATAAATTAATATCACATATTATAAACTTTAATGATGTCATAACTGAAAGTCAAGATATAGAACAGGTAGAAGATTTTCACTGATGAAGAAAAACAGCATGAAAAATCCTAGAAATATGACAGAATATTCAATTTTCTGATTTGATACAGTGTATGATACCGATGAAAAAATCAATGAGTACATACTGGTAGATTAAAAAATTAACAATAGAAATATAGTGACAAATAAAGGACAATTATACAGTAACACAAATTAAGCAAACTGTCTTACCCACACTAAAACTTGAAACTTGATTCCAAGGTTCCACAAACAAAATTATATCAATGTATAGTTAAAGGGATATTTTGAAAAAGTTGAGATTTTAAAGAAAATTGTACAAAATTATCTACTTATGTTTTAATGGAAATTGTACGCCTCAATTTACCATTTAAACAAACATATGATATTTAATCTGCTGAAAATTCTTTAAAGCTCTAGTTAGGTCAATTTACAAATTTTTGCATGGCTCTGACTGCATCATAACAGGTTTTGTGTTGCTAGTAGCTGAACAGAATGGAATATTTGTGGAAATTATAGAGTCAAAAAGAGAATAAGGCTAATCATGTAATAAAAATTGCAACCTCAGCAGGAATATTAGCAAACTGCATACATACTTGTGTATTTACCAAATACTCTGCACTAAATCTATGATCCAGTGACCATTCAGTTCCCGGTTTCATGATGCACCATATTTAGCCATTTAAATTCATATTGGCTGTGACTATTCCTACCAATTTTGTCTGTCCAAACTGACCAAGCAGAGATATTTTCATGCTAACAATTTTATGTCATTAGAGATTGAGTTCTTAAACTGTACAGAGCAGCCAGAAAATTTGCAACTTGGGCAAAATATCCCTTTAACAGGCATCATGAGTCCTACTTAAAAGATACTATTTTTGTAGATTCCTGGTTCATGTAGGTACTTAAATAGAATAATCCATATCAGTCCACTTAATTTTGATGCAAATTAATAACTTTGAATCTAAAGCCGGAACAACAGAAAGGTGATCCAGTCCATGCCAGTAAAATGTTAGTTTGGGATTATCAGATACTGACATGATACTGATGATATTAACATGATACTGATGATACTGACAAGATACTGATGATACTGACATGATACTGATGATACGGACATGATACTGATAATACTGATGATACTGACGTGATACTGACATGATACTGATGATACTGACATGATACTGACATGATACTGACATGATACTGATGATACTGACATGATACTGATGATACTGACATGATACTGATGATACTGACATGATACTGATGATACTGACATGATAATGATGATACTGACATGATACTGATAATACTGACATGATACTGACATGATACTGACATGATACTGATGATACTGACATGATACTGATAATACTGATGATACTGACATGATACTGATGATACTGACATGATACTGACATGATACTGACATGATACTGATGATACTGACATGATACTGATGATACTGACATGATACTGATGATACTGACATGAAACTGATAAAACTGACATGGTACTGATGATACTGACATGATACTGATAATACTGACATGATACTGATGATACTGACATGAAACTGATAAAACTGACATGGTACTGATGATACTGCCATGATACTGATGATACTGACATGATACTGATGATACTGACATGATACTGATGATACGGACATGATGCTAATAATACTGACATGATACTGATAATACTGATGATACTGACATGATACTGATGATACGGACATGATGCTAATAATACTGACATGATACTGATAATACTGATGATACTGACATGATACTGATGATACTGACATGATACTGACATGATACTGATGATACTGACATGATACTGACATGAAACTGATAATACTGATGAAACTGACATGATACTGATGTTATTGACATGATACTGACATGATACTGACATGATACTAACATGATACTGATGATACTGACATGATACTGATGATACGGACATGATGCTAATAATACTGACATGATACTGATAATACTGATGATACTGACATGATACTGACATAAAACTGATAATATTGACATGATACTGATAATACTGATGATACTGATAATACTGATGATACTGACATGATAATGATGATACTGATAATACTAACATGATACTGATGATACTGACATGATACTGATGATACTGACATGATACTGATAATACTGATGATACTGACATGATAATGATGATACTGACATGATGCTGACATGATACTGATGATACTGACATGAAAATGATGATACTGACATGATACTGATGATACTGACATGATACTGACATGATACTGATGATACGGACATGATACTGATAATACTGATGATACTGACATGATAATGATGATACTGACATGATACTGACATGATGCTGACATGATACTGATGATACTGACATGATAATGATGATACTGACATGATACTGATGATACTGACATGATACTGACATGATACTGATGATACGGACATGATACTGATAATACTGATGATACTGACATGATACTGATGATACTGACATGATACTGATGATACTGACATGATACTGATGATACTGATGATACTGACATGATACTGACATGATCCTGATGATACTGATAATACTGACATGATACTGATGATATTTTTGATACTGACATGATACTGACATGATTTTGATGATACTGACATAATACTGACATGATACTGATCATACTGACATGAGTTGTGACCCTTTCTATGTTAGTTTTTTATACATCTTTAAAAGTCACAAAGCTAACATCAACAAAATCAAACAGTCAAATGGAAGCCATCCTCGATACTCCAGGGGTTACAACCAATTTCACTTTCTGCACCCCTGAAACATGTCCTGGCAAAATCAAGAGTTTCCATGAGAAACACACCTTGTGGACATGAGGAAAAGACCAATTTGATCCTTTGATATGTACATCAAACAAATTTTGAGGTTACATAACAGTTTCTTATAATGGCACTGAAGTTGGGTGTCATTGCTTTGTAATCTTGAAGAGGAGCGTATCAGCCTGTATTTGGTCAGTTTTTTCTCCTGGAACCAATCAAATTACTTTGCCTGTGCTGTCAACTTAGCCCTGACATGTTTCAGTAGTGCAGAGAGCCAAAGTGATCATTACTCCTGGAGTATCAAGGATGAGTGGAAGTCAATACTTGTTAATTCACCTTGTACCAAAAACACAAACATTTCTTTTACAAAAGTTTGCTAATATTATTTACCTCAGGACAGACTGATCAATATTCAAGTTTTGTGTCGAATGTTTTAACCTGTTGAATTCCAAGGAAATACGTAAATTGAAATTTGCACAATTCTATTGAAATCAAGCATTAACAGAAATTTTACAATGTTCCCTGTTCATTCTATCTTACACACAAATATCTAATGGTCCATCGTCAATAACCCTGAAACTTTAAAATATATAGTTATCGTATATACCTACTCCCTTAAAATTTCTGTGGGAAAAAATTGAAGGAGCAAACTCTACAGAAAGGTAATTGACATGAAAAACAAATTTACAGTAAACTAATATATTCATTATTAAGTGAATTTCAATGAAAGGATTATAAATATGAGAAAAAAAATTGCAAATACGCAATCACTGGTACTTAAACATGTCCACATCAATTCATTGAACTTCAGAAAACTGACTCAAACAAAGACTTTTGTTGTGTATATATCATCCACTACTTAATCTGATAGGTACTCTTCCTCATATCACCCCAAGCGTTGTAAAGAAAACATTAAGATTGAAGGAACAACACCTAATTTTACCAGAAGCTGATATACAAATACTCTTGCTGAAGATTTTTTAAGAGATTCTATTAGCAGAATATGCTTTCCTTACTGACCTGCTCTGGGTGTGGTCCAGTTGGACCTGTAGATTCTCCATCTCCTCCTGAAGTTCATCATTGGTTCTCTGTAACTTCCGTACCATGTTGGCCTGAGTGTCCACCTAAACAAAGATAATCACATTATAATAGACATATTTTTCAATGTCCCAAATAGGCCACTGTCTTTGCCGATCATTAGTTTTCTGTCTAGTTGCTATCATGTTTTTAAATAATTTGTCCTAATTTTGCAATATACCGACTCAGATAGTTTACATTAACCTATATAGTAATTTTGAGGTTTTTTCTTGTAAAATCAATTTTCATGATGTTATACTTACCATAACTTAAATATGTAGTATTGTACCTACACCCATCTTTGTATCCCAAATATAAAAGATTAAAAAATTCCGCCTTCCCTATGATTCCATGAGCCATGTTGGAAGAGACATAGTGATCTCCCATCCTGGAAAAGTCATTATGGAGCCCAACTGAGGGGCAGCCAGGCAGAAATGGAAGAAGGGAGGATAGGGTGGGACTCCATAAAGTTATGGTAAGTATTACATAATGAAAATTGGTTTTACACCATAACTTAAGTATGCAAATTTGTCTTACTGTACTGGTGACTCGAAGCCAGGCAGCCCATCCAGCACAGCAGAAAACAGTAGGGAGGGGGAAAAGGAGTGTCAGAAGAGTTGGAAAAAACCTTCCAATATAAGAATATGTGAACCAACGTACTGCCTGACGTCAAGACATGCCCCAGAGCTAACGAGGGGACACAGCCATTGACTGTGCTACCACAAGAGGTTCCAACAAATACAGACCTTCAGAGTGGAAAGCTAGGGACCACAGATAAAAATCTGTGAAGGTATCCCTTCCCCACCAGAAGGCCGTAGACATGACCTTCTTAAAGGAGGACCCATTGATGTGGGCTCAGGATGCAGCAAAGACCCTAACCTCATGAGCCTGCACTTTCACTCTTGCCGAGCCTGATCATCAGAATGCTTGTCAGGTAATTAATGACCTGGCAAACCCACCTGGAAACCAACTGTCCTTGTTTGACGGGATCGAGAACCCCTAGTGTTATTGAGATAAAACCTAAGCCTACAACAAGGAATAAGCAGTCTATCACACTCCTCTGGACTAGTCAAAAGCTGGGATCCTAATGGGATTGGGCCATAACTCCTTGACCTAATTTTTTAATCAGTTAAGGATCAGTTAAGAGAGTTACAGCAGCATAGTCTCTGGACCATTGTAGACAGGAAGGAAGTGACAAAAAAGCGAGGACTTCACTCCTCCTATGACCAGAGGCCAGAATCAGAGGGAGGACTGTCTTGAAAGTAATGAACTTTAACGAAGCAGACTCCAAAGGCTCATAACGAGTCAGAGTCAGAAAGTCTAGCACCAGGGCCAGATTCCACTGTGGGGCCAGCTGCGGAACTCTGGGTCTGTCCAAAGCGAAGCCTCTGATTAGGGCAGAAAGAGAGAAGGACGAATCTATCTCCTTCCTGTCATAAAATGCAAGGACACTGGCAAAAGATGTACGATAAGCAGCAATAGTGCCAGTGTCCAGATTGTGGTCACTTGTAAATCAAGGGACACAGCTGCCATTCCGTTAACACCAACTGGCAGCGCCTGGAGAGAGTGTCTGCCAGCACCTTCAGCCTGCCTGAAAGATGCTTGACCATGATGGTCAACTGCATCTCTTGGCAGAGAAGAAGAATGCAAATGGTAAAAGCACACAGGTTGTGAGACCTGGTGACCCCTTGTCTCTCCAGACACGTGACAACTGTAGTGCGTAGCCACACAAATCACTTTGGACTGCAGAACCTTCCAAAAAGACTGCAGTCCAAAAGAACATACCTCACCTCAAGCACATTGATGTGCTCTCAGAGCTGTTCCTTGGACCACTCCCTTGAGCGGCACTGGCTGTTAAGGTAAGCTCCCCAACTTGTCATGGATGCATCCATGAATAGGGTCATAGTGGGAACTTGCTTGGTCAGAGGCCTGAATGGTCCACTAAAAAGCGAACTCCCTGACCAGCTGGGTAACAGGAACCTAGACCCACAATCCTCGGACGAAATAACCCAGTTGGACAGGAGGAACATCAGGAGAGGTCTGATGTAAAGCCTCCAGAGAGGGACCACATCTGCCAGGGAGTTGAGATACCCCAGAAAACTGGGGAACCAACACACTTGGATATGCGACCAAACGATGAAGGTCAGAGCAAGAGATGGGAAAACCTCTGACTTCTCTCTGGAAGGAATGAAGCCTACTTTGAGCAAGACTTTCAGGACCAGACAGGTGTCCTTCACTAAAGATTCCCTCACCAAATGAAGCATGAGGGAGTCGTAGAAATAGATGTGAACATGCGAGTGAAGAAATCCCACAACCACCTGCAGCAGCTTGGTGAAAACCAAAGGTGCCATCGTGGGCCTGAAAGGCAAGGCCCCCTAAAATGGAGGAACTATCATGCCAACTTCTTGATGGGGATATGGAAGTAGGAAGTTGCCCACATTCAATCTCTCACGTAAGCCATGATGCCTGTGGAGTTTCCATCTTGAAGTGAGGATAATCTATGTTTGGACGCCACACACCAGACTTCTTTCAAACAAGAAACATTCTGGAGTAGAAGCAGGGAGTGCATTCCGACATAGGAACCTCAACCAAGCCCTTGGCAAGCATGGTCCCTTCTTTCCCCTGGAGTGCCCCAGCCTTTTCTGGATCCCCTGGAAGAAGAAAGAAAATTGGCTGGGCAGCCAGGGGTGGATCCCGAAGAAGGGGGTTACCTAGACCCTTCCTGACCACAGACAGTGCCCAAGCATCTTCCGTGATCCAAGATGCCCTCCCACAGGAAGTTCTGAATGGGGCAGATCAAATCTGACAAACCAGAGAATCGTCTGCACACCCGGAGCCTAAACCTGCAGGACAGGGACAAGATCTTGAGACTGGAGAACTGTCGTCCACCTGACCCAGCTCTTTGTCTGCCACGGCCAAGGAGTTGAAAGAGTTAGGAACCCTTCTTCTTGTCCCCAGGAGAGTTCTTACCCTTCTTACACTTCCCCTTATTGCCCTTGTAGCAAGGCTTCAACTTCGGTTGTGCAGAAGACTGAGCAGGCAGGGTTCCTCAACTAGGCAGTTTTTCAAAACTGAACAAGAGTGCCGTGGACACAATATACACTGCCACAAAATATAAAGATCAAGATTGGTCCTTTTAATTATTGCTTTTAACATGTCTGTATACATAAGCTCAAAATGAAGTCTGTGAGACCAGTTAGCTTAGCTGGAAGAGACAAGGACCTGAGATCATGGTTGCCTGGGTAGTAGTTTTGATCCCTGCAGGGGCAGCCGCCTGTTGCCTTGAGCTAAACAGTTTATCCACACTTGTTCAGAGTTGAAAGTCTTACTCTGCTAACCAAACAAGTTGACTTTTTATGTAGTTCAACTGATAACCTGCAGTAGGAACTAGAACTTCCATTGTCATTGTAAATACCATCTGCATGCCACTTTGTCACATAAATCCATAATTACATGACAGAGAGTTATGGTTCTTGATCACTGCACTCCCTCTCAATGAGGTCTATCCACATATGAAGTTTCATCTTGATGCCTTTTATACTTTTTGAGTTACGTTCCGCAGATTGTTTGAATCTCTATCAAAATGGCCTAACCAAAAAATGGCAATGGCTGCCACAAAATCAGCAACAGAGAAAAAGTTGAAAATGTCATAAATCTTACAGAAATCAATGAACCATAAAATCGTAACTTCAAGCACATCCACCCATTGTAGTAGTGACATTGAGCAAGTTTCATGAAAATCTGATGATTAGTTTAGGAGGAGTTGCGTTCACAAGAAATAGATGTACATACGGATGTACGGATGGCAGGACATACGGACGGACAGACAGACGGAGAAGATGACGCCAATATACGACCGCCTCCGGCAGCATATAAAAATGCCTAGCCATCTAGACATTGGCAAGCAAAGATACTTGCAATGCAGTCGATGCCATCAATGCTGCATTCAGGGCAGGGGTGACTCTGTCCTGGATGTCGGCCTGTTCTGTCTCAGATATCCGACACTCAGGCAAGTCAGATACTCTATATATACAAACTGTCAGGAAGTCTATATACAACAAAATTTGGATGTAAAGACGCAACAGTCTCTCCATCTTGTGGTGTTCCTTCGAGCTGAATACCACCTGGTCCACAGACTTGCTGGGCCAGGCCGTCAGCTCTCTCAACTCCAGATTAGCTGGTTGAGAAGCTAGTTGCCATCGTGCAAGAAGGAAAACCCATGGGGTTAAACCCAAACCCCTGAGGGAATGGAAATGGCTCCCCAGGCTGGAAGTGACCTAAGTACTGGCCAAAATTGCCTGCCTGAGTCTGGGGCTGGCCACCTGGTCCAAAGGACAAAGATCGGCCACCACTACCGACAGGTAGAAACCCAGACATGTACCAGCTAGGCCTGTGACTGCTGGGATGCTGCTGGGACCCAAAACCATTTGCAGGCTGGTTTGGGCGGCCCAGGGATAAGTACCCGCAGGTACCTGTATACCCAGGGAAACGGAGACCGGAAACCAGACACTTGGCCTACAAACCCAGCCCCTTAGGGGAAGCCCCCTGGGTTCCCCTGCACAAGCAACTCAGGGCTGGACTGGACAGGAACCAGGAACCTGAGAGGGCGGGAAAAAAGGATCCACATTGACGCAAGGATTAATCAACTGAGAGTAGCTAATCCCAGTGGACAGACAACCCTGACAAAAAGTCTGTGGCCCCAGGACCTGCACTAGAGAGGTCAGGCCAGACATCAACTTGATTCAAGGCAGCCCCTACCAACAACACCACCTGGTGCGCCTGGATCACTGAAGGAATCAGTGACTGTCCCTACCCGAAGGTAGAACTGACAGAAAACGCAAATTCACAGCCAATTTGACCCTGGACTGCGACGACCCAGGGATGGGCTGTCCTGCAGGATTTGCCAGGACAGGCAGGACCACCCCTTGCTCCAGGGAGGAGCTCGACAAAATGAATAGGAAAAAGGAAAAGCTAAGTTGCTGACCAGTTCAGAACTGGTGGCGGTGTACCTAGCAAGCTTACTTCTCCTGCCGGAGGAAGAGGACCAGTCTCTCTAACGACCAGAGGAAGCTCGCCGAGCAAGCTGGGAGACCATGACGTTAAGACTCCACTATTCACACGACGAAGTCTCACTACAAGACTGGCACTGAGCACAGGCATCATGAGGGTCCCATTCCCCCAAGAAATTGGAGCACACATGAGCTGTACCCTGACACAGACCAGCGCTAGCCATGCTTATAACAGTTAACAAAAATTGTAATGAAGTAAACAAGGCAAAGTTTCGAAAAATAACCAAAACTAACACAAAGCCATGAAAAATGATGCAAAAACCCACATAGCAGAAACAAACAAACTGCAGAACAAAGGCAGCAAACACAGCCGACAACGCAGCCTCCCATAAAACAGAAATGGTGGAACACGCGGTCAGGCACTCCAACAAATGGAGGAATTAAAAAGGCTGAAAATATGGCACAAATAATGAATAAATGTCAAAAAAGACAAATAATTGGGAGATATATAAAAGTATAACTGAGTAATAAAATATACTCAGAACACAATATAATGAGTAGAGAGGAGAAAATTTGGGAAGACTCAGCTCAATATATCCATGCACGCTGGCGCCATCAAAGGAAAGAGGACGGGAGATCACTCCATGTCTCTGCTGTGATGGCTCATGGGAATGTAGGCATGGCGGTTTTTTTTTATTCTTTTGCTTTTGGGATACGAAGATGGGTGTAGGTAGAATATTTGCATACTACATACTGAAGTTATAGTAATTATCACTAAAATGAAAATTTTATTTATTATTGGTGTACATAAATAAATCATCTTTACTTTATGTCGGTTTTGCATACCAGAAAATGCTGACAATGGTGCCTTCAGAGTATCTTCAATCTTTCCATGAAAGGTTTTTAATGCTATAGCTATGTGATGTGCACACCTCCCCTTTGAACATTTATTTTGTGTCAGTGGGAGTATAATCAGTGTCACCAAATATCTCTTGTTTACTTATTTTTTCAACTTGCATTGCTTGCATAATGATATCTTATTCCTGCAAAAAGGAGGCAATATTTTTTATTTTACTTTTTTTTTCATAAATTAAGGCAAAAAACAAATATCATAACAAGAGCAGTCAGAGACTGGTTATGCTCCCTGATAGGGACAAAATTTCAGTATGAAAATTAACAAAGGGCAACAAGAGATTTATGGTTCTTGTGCACTGCTCTCATACTCCTTGAGATCTATCTACATATGAAGTTTCATTTTCAGACCTCTTACAGTTTTAGTGTAATGCTCCAGACAAAATTTAAATACAAAAAATAACAAAGGGCAATTACTCCTAAATTATACAAAAGAGAATGATGCTTCATGCACATTGCACTTCTCCTTATTGTGATCTATCTACCTATGAAGTTTTATGTTGATACCTCTTATGGTTTTTGTGTTATGCTCCGGACAAAATTATGACAGACGGACTATATGCTCTCCCATCTTAAACTAATAATCCTAACCGGGTTTGAACTATTTCCAATACAAAATACACAAATAATGTTAAAAAATGTGATTTTCCTATATAAACTTAAGTACTTTAATCCCCTCTCCTGGGGGAAATGTGAGACCCTGGGGTCATGAAATTTAAAATTTTGTTAAGGCATCTAAGGCTGAAGGCCTTTCCATCCAAGAAGAGTACTTGATTCTACCGTACCTGGGATTTAAGAAGAAAATTTTTGAAGTTTCAATCATTTTTACCCTTTTTGGCCACTTTACTCAGGCCCCTGTGGGATGGGGACAATATAATTTACAATTTTGGTGCACCTAGTGCAATGAAAGGTTTTTGCAAAATTTCACTGAAATCAGTTAGGGAGTTTTATAGAAGAAAAAGTTAAAAGTTTACGACGCACAACACCAGACAAAGGGGGATCACAATAGGTCACCCTGAAAAAAAGTCTCAGGTGACCTAAAAACAACCAATATCTAACCGGCATATAGTAACAGTGCTTAGACTATACAGGGTTGTATAAGAACAACAAATCCAGAACAAAATCATGAAGCAGAATGATCAAACATAACTGATTTTTCCTGTTACCTCATCTTCTGCATTGGCAAGATCTTTCTTTAGTTCCTCTATCCTCCCGCGAAGTTTCTTCACTTCAACCTCATACTGTTCCCCACGTCGCTTTGTGTGGTCCAATTCAGTTAATTTCTCTTGCAGCGTCTTTTTCAACTTGCTATGGATGTGACGAAGATCACTCAACTCCTATAAGTAGAATTAGTTATTAAACTGGAACCTGGAATGCTGGAATCACTTCAATGTAAGCCATCAAATGTGCATAGTGCGTGCATGTCAAAAGTGCAAACAAACATTTGATGGGTAATCTAAAAGGTGTCATCAAATGTTGGAAGTAACCACTGGAGTCTGTAGAAACCAACACTGGATCCATGGGAAATTAAAATAGCCTCGAGAAATGAAAATTACCTTTGGAAATTAAATTTATACCTTTTGAAACAATTCTTGGTTGATATTAATTGCATAACTGACCTTGTTTTTCTCTGACAGGTCATTCTGGAGTGTCCTCATATCTGAATCTACGACAACAGATGTCTGCTGTGTTTTCCTCTGTAACTGCTCCTCCAAGTCTTCAATTTGGATCCGAATCTTTTTGTTTTCTCGTTCTAAGCCATACTTTTCTGTTTCCAATCTCTCTCGCTTTCCCCATTCATCAGCATTTTCTCGCTGAAGTCTCTCAAGCTATAATATTTCCAAAGACTCTTATATCTAAGACCAGACTTTGAATATTACAATTTTATGCCAGATAAAAGGTTTTGTATTTAAATACCATCTCTGTTACATCTATAACTTTGCTATTGAAAATGTATAGAATCCTTTTATCGATATTTGTCAATCAATGGCCATAGTTTAGCACAGTTATCCAGATGACTGATTACAAAAATTAATTAGATATTACTGAACCTGTTAAATTTTATGAAATTATGCTTGTGAAAATCAATTAGAGTTTGAACTATCAGGGTCGCCATTGCTTAATATCACTACAAAGTGTCTAAAAGTGTCCTAGCAGGTCAGGAAACTACCAGTCGCAAATGTCATTTTCTGGGGAGGGAGGTTAATTAAAAAAGTGTTATCTTTTGAAACACTTACTGTACTGCAATACAGTTTCATTTTGATCTTCACAACTTTGGATACTTTAACGAAGAAATTAATGCAAAAAAGCACTGCTTGTGTAATGGCAAAAGCTAGCATCATCCTGATCATAATGAATTCTCTGCATACATATTCCCTCACAAAACATTTTCTTCAGTTGGTAAGTAAATATGTGAAAAGATTCTTTTATACCATATTTGACTGAAAGAAATATGAATGTGATAACAGGAGCATGTAACAATGTTTCTGTGGTAGGGGGCTTCTTTCATACACTACAATTAGTATTAATTCACTTGATGGTAGAAAAATCCCAGAAAAATGCCCCCTGTGAGTGTGACATAATCCTAAGTATACTATGAAAGAAAGCTATGAGATGGTGATAAAATCAAAGTGAATACAGATACAGTCAGTAATATTCCGTATATACACAGGTGATAGCAATGTACCCTATACAATCTGACCAACAAAATTCAATTTGGCTTTGTCCCTTGCTAATTACCTCTCGTCTTAATTCCCCAAGGCGTTTATCCATGGCTGACCGGTTGCTTGATTCCTCGTCCATCTCCATAGTAATTCTACTGATTTCTTCCTTATGGTCATCTTTAATTTTATTCAGCTGTTTCAGAAACAGAGGAACTTATGTTACATACATACTTTATGGCTTACACACATATAGTTACTGGTATACAGCCATGTATAGTGGTGTTTCCTGATATGTACAATATGCAAACATCTCTAGCTTATAAAAATTAGCCTCGTCAATCAGTATACTTATCATTAGAATAATGGTGAATAATAGTAGAAATGATCTTCTGTGAGACTGTGGCAGGGAGATACCAATTCTCTTCCTCTTTTCAACTACTCATTTTCATCAAAAAGGCAAAACCTGAATTAACTTACATATGTAGACACTTAAACAGCAAAATATTACAATGCTGAGTTCATTATGCAAAATTTGATCAAACTTATTATTGATGTTTTGAAATGGTCCTTCATTTTGTGTTATATAGAGATTTTTAATTGCTATATACCTGTACTAATAGGTCCTGTTTGGAATGCTTTAAGTCTTCATACTTTGATTTCATTGCATTCAGATCTAATTGAAGTTTTTCAATGGATTTCATCAACATTGTCTTTTCACTATATAATGAAAAGATACATACATGATTTATATGAAAGTGCTTCAGATCATATTCAATAGGAAATGAACTATAGTTTTATATAAAACTGATTGTATGGGGATAATGACAAAGTATTATCTACAATATAAATCTTTAATACTGTATGACAAGGAAAACAGATATAATGGACAAACAAATGTTGTTAAAAAGTTAAAACACATGGAAAAGACAGAGCTTAAAGAGTATAGAACACAAAAGTGTAACATTCTCTGGTCTAAAAAGTTATTTGAAAACTATAAAGAAGATTTCGCCTACAGCAATACTTACTCTCTTTCACCAAGCAATGTTTTTTGTGCCTCGTCCAGCTTCAGCTCATAGAGAGCCTTTTTCTCCTCAGCTAGACTTCCCTCAGAGTCATTTGAAAGTTCATCAAACATTTTTGGTCTTGATTGTACTTTTTGATGTTCAATATTAATATTCAAATTATTCACTTCAGATTTTGATTTAGGAGACGGTGCATGGGATTGTTTGGACTCATCACTGGAATTGTCTGTTGGATGTGCAGCTTTGTCACTCACAGGAGACAGTTCTCCAGGTTTTGTATTTTCCAAAATCATAGAATCAATGTCTATTCCAAGCTGTTTCTTCAGTTTTATATTTTCTGCACAGAATTCTTGTCTTTCTCGTTTTAAAAGTGTGCAATCTTTCACTAACACTTCTAATTTTGCACGTAATTGTCTGTTTTCTTCCCTGGCCTTATTTCTTTCATTACGAACCTTGCTCCATTTTTCTCTCCAATTGGCAGTACAATCTGACCACCAACGCATGGTCTTTTCCATCTGTGTCGCCCGAGCTCTTGCTTCTTCAAGTTCCCGCATACGGAATTCATCTCGGTCATCCCATTCATCCATGCTGGACATTTGCGACACTGGAGTGATGTTTCCTTCCCTCATTGGTGGTGGTGACATGGGGAGTGGGGGCCCGGCAGGTGGTGCAGTGGCCCGTAGGTAGGAAACATCTCCTTTAGTGCTACCAGGTTTCACTTTCTGACTCATGGTGACACAATGTTTAATGTAACCCTTGTTTGTAAGTTGAATTTAATATCTTTAACAGCTTTTCTAGCATATGTGATTTTACGCTTGTAGTGGATTGAAATTCTTACATCAGCAGCACATGATTTTGCATATTTGTGACCAAATCATGGTGATTTCATCTTAATTTAAAGATTAATTTGATTTTAAAAACTACTCTATATTTGTTTGTTATTTCCATTTCACACAATAAAGAGTGTTCAAAATCTGAAAAAGAATAAGCAGAAAAAATTCTCAAAATTATTATATTCCATAAGGATAATTCAGTCAAGCTTGTAAATGCAAAATAAGCTTGTACATTTGATAATCTAAAAATGCAAATTATGTGTTCTGGATTCAGGTTTACATCCAATATTTACAATTTTATTTCAAAACTAACAGCATGTCATAATTTAGAATATTCAATTTACACAGGAATATATTAATGCTATATTTGGTAATTGTACTATTTTATGGATAAAAGCCATCCAATATTAACAGTTGATTATAATGCAACCAGAAAATAAAAGACATTGTATACAGTATTACAATAGGTGATAATGCTGAAAAGGATTTTAACTCAACACTTGAATTAATCAACCATTTCTTCTGGTTTATACAAAGCTGAACAATTGTTCAGATTTTACTGTTGTTCACATCGTAGTAACAGTAAGGGTCATTTAAAGAAGTGCCCAGTTTGGATGCTGAAGATCCATAGAAAAAACACTGACTTGCAGCCAGAACCTGGCTTTTGCCTCATGTGGGCCGAGAAACCATGACTCGGACGTGGTGGGTTACTGGTAGAAGGCAGATGTCTTAACCACTCAGCCACTGTGAAGCTGGAGCTAATATGCCTTAGGCTGATATACATGTATCATAGGAATTCTTTGAAAATTATACGTTGGTATGTGTTAAAACCATTAACATGGAAAATGATAATGAAATTTGATGAATTTATTAAATAAAATATAGTGATACTGGGAGCAGATGACAGTTTTATTTAACTGTATGTATTGGCCTCTGCCTGAGGGAGTTGTTCCACTGAGTGATCACAATAATGTTTGGATATTATTACAGAATACATGCATCTCACAGTACACAGTCTCCTAATCTATTGTAGTTGTTATCTTGTTTAACTGTTGATATGAAGAGGATATCTGAAGGACAGGACATTTCTATTTGGATAACATAAGTATTTATTACTCTTCTATATAAGAGTTCAGTTATGTAGCTATTCTTTACTGCTGTTTATATTTGCACATGTTCATTGAAAATCAATTTGCTACATTATCCTGTCCATATATAGCATTACAGATATATTGGAGGTGTTCAGTTGGCTAACATAGACCTAAAAGATGTATTCATGATCATTTTCATAGCTGTTTCAATGGCTAACAAATGTTTACCACAGTACTACAGAAATTTTGTAGCTGTTCAGGATGCTAAAAATAAACCTCAGTGATATATCCATGATCATTTTCCTCACTAAACATAATTGTCACTCTTCTATATAAAAGTCTAATTATAGTAGTAAGTCACTTGTGGCTGTTTCGTTGGGTATGTTACTGTAAATATTGAAGCTGTTCAGTTTGCAAACACAAACCTCAATCATTTTTACATATAAAGATCAATTTCAGAGCTGGCTCTGCGAGACAAATTGTGAAGTGATAATTGTTTGGATTTACCTTATTACACCACTTTGAAATACTGTGGATTAAGGTGAGAACACATGCATCGGAAGTTCTGTATGTTAAATAATACCTATCATACATGTACAGTTATGTGCCAAAAGTATTTGGTCACAATGGCGATGTGTTTTTATTCTCTATCCCAGCCGTATGTTAAAAGAACTTGGCCTTTGTTTTCTGCATCACTGATGATGATGCACACTATTTCAAGCTTTCTTAGTCACCTGAGATTATGGAACATGATATTTTTTATGTTGTCTGCTTTCAAGTTTTCCTCGAAATACTACGAAGCAAAGATGGGACGAAAAGGCAAGGAACTTTCAGTGGATGTGAAAAATATTATCAAAGAGATATTTTAGAGTGTATATTCCGGCTGAAATATAACATGATGCTAAAATTACCTAAATCTACAATTATTGATAGCATTAAAAAGTTTTCAAGTTCTGGATCGGTGGAAAAAAAACAACAAACTGGCACATTTAGTGAGCAGCCATGAGTATCACAAGTTAGAATAGATTGTGGAAACAAAAAGAAGAGATTTGTTGATGGATATGACAACTAAACTTAATGAGAAATGAAATTTTTCTTTCTCAAAACAAACAATTTAAGTTCAAACTATTGGTGCCGACAAAAGAGAAAATGGACTGAAGACAACTGGAAAAGGGTCATATTCTCAGATGAAAGTAAGACAGTTATTAGCCAAGTTGTCTGGAGAAAACAAGATGAAGAATGGAGAACTGATTAATGCTGAAAAATATCAGGAAGTCTTGGAAGAACATCTCTAGTCTGTCATTGCAAGGCATTTTTCTACAGGTGGTTGTTTTTTCCTAGATAATAAAGCGACTGTACATTGTGCTGGGTCCATCCAGGAATATGATGCCAGGAATCAACTGCACGAGTTGGCCTGCACAGTAACCAGATATAAATATTATTGAAAATGTTTGGTTGTATGTCAAAATAAAACTCCAGTCCAATCCAATCCCACGTAACATTTGTAAAATTGAAAGAGGACTTGTTCCTGGAATTACAAAAAATCTGGATGGAGATTACACCTGCCTACATTTAAAGCTTATATAATTCGAACACTGGGTGGGTTTTTAACAAGATTAGTCAATGGTGTCTGGTTTTTCTTTCGCTGTAAATGATGTTCACTATTTCCCCATGTTGAAGTCGGTGTAAACAATCTATAACTAAGTACCTTTGGATACCATGGTAGGTACAGATACGGGGACAAGGTAGGATTGAAAATTTACGGACAGTTAAAACAACATCATTTTCTGACCAATAGCACGCATTCAGCCCAAGCCAGGTGTCATCAATCTCCTCATACTCAACATGTTACCTGTTGAGAACCGTTAATTATCCAATTAGCCAAGTCTTTCATGCTTGTTCAGTCAGGCACCTGAGTGAATTTGTTTACATAAGGTAATTAAATGCGTTAGGGTCTCGCTCATTGTGGTTTCCTAATTACCAATGGATCAAACCACATCAACTGTTTCATCGCAGTAACTAGTAATGGATTAAACTTTCTGTAGAAAATTTTTTTTTTTTTTCTCATTTTTATCTGACCCCAAAAAAGTACCTGCGCATTATACCCGAGTGCACATTATACCCGCAAATTTACGGTAGACACCTCACAAAATACTAAAGGTAAGTGTGATATTTTGTTTCAATTGAGTTATTAGTTTACCTTTCTGCAACGTTTTATATAAGTTGTATTTATGTCAAAATGTTAACACGACATCACTGTACTATAAAAGTGAAAGGAATCCAAGTCGTCCCTAACCGATTCCTGTGATGGTACTTCTATATTGAAATGTTGAACACAACTGACTCATGGAACTCCTTCCTGATTTCAGTTGTAAATATGTACTTCGTATGAGCCAATGAATATTTTAAAACGAATGTTCAAAGGTGTGGTAATAAGACTAATGCAGTGGAGTGAAACATGGTTACTGAAATTCAACCCTGAAAAGTGCAATTTGCAATGCACATTGGGAAAAAAGGCAGAGAAGATGAATATCAGTATTCGCTACAGGGCATAAATCTGGAGGAGGTGGATCATGAAAAGGACATCGGAGTCAGAATCGACAGCCTATTAACTTTTGAGCACCACATTGTTGAAAAGGTAAAGAAGGCAAACTCTATGTCAGCCATGATACGAAGAATTTTCCAGCATTTAGACAAGCCATTCTTCGTCCCCCTATATAAAACATTAGTGAGAACACACCTTGATTACGCTAGCTCAGTGTGGTTTCCGTACAAATCATACCATGTGGACCTCATAGAGGGAGTTCAAAGAAGTGCAACCAGCCAGTTACCAGAATACAATGACTTATCATACCAGGACCGTTTACAGAAACTCAAGCTACCCACCCTGAAATATTGAAGAAGTCGAGGTGATAGGATTGATGTGTATAAGACCTCGGGCGGAAAATATGATATGAAATCTGGGAACATCATCAAATCGCGCAATGATTACGTTCAGAGAGCGCTAGGACGTGGGAACTCAAAAAAGAGATATGTGCAAAGATCCAGGCTAAACATCAAGAAAAACAGCTTCAGTGTGAGGACCGCAAAACTATGGAACAGCCTACCAGAAAGAGTTGTGAATGCCAGTAGCATCAATGCCTTTAAGAATAGACTGGACAACTTTTGGAAGGATCAAGAAGTATTGTATGACTTCAAGGCGAATTTTGTATTAGACACTACCGGTCATAAATATGATAACACTAATGAGTCCGACGAAGAGGACCTTTAAGGACCTGTGTTGGAAAAAATACCATAAGTTACTACAAGTTAAGGACACACACATCATTGTGACAATGAAAACCTACCATTTTCCAAAATTTCTCCTTATAATCTCTGTTGTTTAAATCCTTAACACACTATCTCAAAAAATGCCTCTGTGTTAAACACTTAGCTGTGTCAGACCGCGATAATATGAGGCCATCAATGGGTTAGAAAGTTATGTATAGTGTATCAATCAATTATATTCAAACTGTGTATTTTCTTAGGTTAATTACAGTTTTTAGTTGAAACTTATCACCGTATATTTTGTCTACACTGTCAGCGGTTTTTGTAATTGTTATGTATCTGTTACTAAAGATGCATCTTGATTTTGTTTCAACACGGTTATCCCTGATGCACCTCTCTTGCCGATAACTCGTCGGTAGATCTAATCATTGTGAAATATGAGTGAAGAGAAAATCAAACGAATAAATGATGCAGTATCTGTGCATCCTGATTTTCCTAAACCTGGAATACTATTCAAGTGAGTATTTTTAGCTAAAGATTGCAAGACAACTTGCAGGCTAAAATGTTTTTCACGGTTTGTAAACTGGAGCAACAAATAACACACCAGGGAAGGGATTTAGGAGCTGCTAGTTGATTAACTGAACTTCATGCATATTAAATTGCTACAAGTTCGTGATAACCAGGGACGTATAACACAAAGGGATAAGAAACTGACTCAATCTC